AATTTAGGCGCTTCTGTCAAATGAAGTGCGTGGGGGCGGCAATTGAGACACTGGAGTAGGTCAGGGGCTTTCCCGCGTGTTTCGTAGTTGTTTTTGAAAACTGGTTTTTATGTAACACGCGCGCACAGCCCGCTGAAATCTGCAGCGTTTTCAACGATGACACTCGTGAGGGTGAATCGAAGGTCCGCCTTGAGAGCGCGTTTATAGATTTTGCACTATAATTGAATGCAAGAGTACATTGACATGTACTATTTTAATGTTAGTTGACCAGTTGGATTGGTCACCTTGCGAGCTGCATTTAAATGCTCCGAGAGTACGTTGACGTGTACCATTTTACTTATAGGCTGACGACAAGCCACGTTATATATCCTGTAGGGTGACAACTCTCACCTTGGAGCTTAAATTACTTCTAAAAGTCAAAAGTCAGTAGCGAAAATAATTTTCGATGCACGCGGAGAATAGTGTCGATTTCACTGATCCGCAAAAACGATTGTTTTGTTTTTTTTTTTGCACGAGTCCAATTGCGACACGAGCACAACGCGAGTTAGATTTCTTTTATTTTTTATACTCGTTATATTCAGCAGCGCGAGTTACAATCATTGTTGGTACGTGACGCGTTCTAAAATGATGCTTCGACATTCGGCTATTTATGTTGTGACTTTTTTAGAGCAACACTCGTCATTCAAATGGAAAATTGATTGGATTGTATGATTTTTAGAACGACTACCGAGGACAGTAAGAGGTCGTATGGATCGTAAAAGCCGAAATATGCCAAACAACATTATAAGCAACTGCAGCACAGTTCGCCTGCCATCAATCGCAACAACGAATAGTCCCACCTTATCGTCTCATCGCCTTATACGCAAGTTCGCAACTGCTACTGTTTAATTCACGCGTTCGACTTGAATCCAACATTTAACGTTGAAACTTAGCGCGAGAAATGATCGCGGCTTGTAGTATACGCTGTCATTAAATTGAAATTATCCCGATAGGCTGGTAATTATAGAGATCGCGCCAGCTAAAGCGCATAACTTGTGATTCGGTTGCCGGTTGCAAACCGGTGAACTTTCTACACCTACGCTGTGAGCGACGATGCGCGAGGAGCGGGGTCAGCGTTCTCGCGGCTTCTTTTGGCCATGGAAAAGACTGGTCGCGCGCTAAATTAATTGGCATGTGCCGCGCGCGCACGTGTGCTAGCTGAGTTACGCGAGACATTAATTTGCTTCTGTTTTTCGTCTCTCTCACTGCCGTTAGAATCTGGTAGAGGTCGAGATCATGGCTAAAAGTAGTTATTTTTTGCTTCAATTAATTTTTAGCCACGGAGATGTTACGTTGAAGAGTTGAGAAAAGTCTAGAAAGCCCAACTGACAGCACTGTATGCGCATCGACTGAAGCGGAAAGCTCCGCTCTTTTACAAATCAAGCGTAAAACAGCAACGTGTAAAACGCACAACCTGTGCTCTCATGACCTGTTTCCAAGTGTCAGCCTTCAATGGATTTACGAGGGTCCCGTAGTAGTAGTAATGGACCGATAGTAGAAACCCTCTACGGTTACACCAAGGCAACAAAAAACACGGATATTATGCAAAACTGGGAGGTCCTTGTTCTCTACGATGCGTTCATCGTGTTTCACATTTAAATGAACTTTTTCACTGTTTATAGTAAGGATGTGTATTTTAACTTTAACGGCCATTTCATGGCATACGAAGCAACGTTGTTTATTGTTGTTAGCTACAGCCAAATTTTGACGGCTGCTCATTCGAAAAGTAGTTCAAAAATATTTGTCTCTGTTGTATGCTGCACACGAACATTTCTGAATAATCGTTCCCTTATGCGTAATCATGTGCTTTCGGATGGAATCGTTAATTCCTGGCTTGAATCATCAATTTAATTTTTTTTTTCCGCGTGAAATCGTAGTCACAGCAATGAAAATAACTTCAATTTCAATTCCGGCAATATTTTCCAAGTCTCGTTACGTAAATCAAGCGTTTATTTAGGATCTTCATGGAGCCGGTTACGTGCAAAAATGAAAATTACATCCGTGGTAAATGCTCGGTGCATACACACCAACAAATCATAAATTAAAAACTTTCTCTGCCCTCACCCACCGAACACATGACGCTTGTGCTACGAACGGAGTTGACGTTTCTATCCGAGACAACACTTACATATGTCAAATTGATTTCACGAAGATATTGCCATCCCGGGTGGTCAATCATTGTATAATAAATTTGTTGTCCTACAACACACATTTTCGAATTATTATTCTAATTGAACATTTTTATCGAAACGAATAATACGTTTATAATTTTTCGATTGCATTTCCACCGTGTTTGTCTGATAGTACCTATTTTTAAGTGAAAAATAATGAAAATTCAAAATTGTATGAAATTCAATCAGACGTAACGTAGTCATTCTTTTCTTATGCTCAGCTCCTGAACTAATTTCTTTGGTTTTGAATTCATCCATCATGTAACCTGTAAAGTGTTGCACACTCAAAGTCACTTTATTAGGTATACACATTTCACTTCGTCGCAGTAGCATATATATGTGCATGTGTGTATGTGCTGCTTCGAAATTACTTTTTTACGAGACTCAGACCACACACCTCGTTCCAACTGAAACAGATGCGCAATAATTCTTTTTTTTCTTTCAAGTTGAGACAAGACAGATCATTGAAAAAATGTAAAATCGACGTTAAGACAAAACTGCAGAATGCAAACGCGTTGGCTTAGACTCCATTGCAAATGTGTGTAAATCTTGCAGAGTTTCTTACCAAGAATACTTTCGATAACTGCCTCTTTTCGCGTGAGAAATATCGCTAGAAAAATGAGCTCGTAACTTGTAACAAAAATGAGCATTAAATCATAGGCATAACGGAAGGCTTCCTAACGACCTGATTGGCGAACCATACTGTCTGCCGATAGATCAACTGTGGTGGCGTCATGCACGTGGAATTCAATAAAATAATCTCATGACAAATATAGCTGAAAGTATAAAGGAGATCATTTTAGACAATTACGCAAGCGATAAGTCGTCCTCTCATTTTATCTCCATCCCCTTTCAAGCTTTTATAATATTTCATCGTAAACGAACAAGCGAAGAAAAATGAGAAACCAAGAAATTACTTAGCGCTCACCAGGGAGATTTATTGGCTCGCTAAGCAGCGACACGACTGCGCACTGTTCCGCGGGAAATGCGCAGGTGAACGCATGTGAGAATGAGCTAGAGTGTGAATTTTGCTGGTGCACGCGACGGATGTTTTCAAGTGGAATTTTTATGGTTTAGAAACTATATATCGTTTTTCATGTCGATAAAACATTCTAACGAATACATTGTTGGCATTTCCAGCAGTCGATAAAAGCATGCAGAGGCTTCTAAATAAAGATCTTAAAGTTATCTATGCAATCGAAACAACAATGACGATCTATGTTTGATCACGTGTCGCATTTAAACAATCGCCGAGTAAATATTAATTTTCAAGATGCGATATTTTCTCGCGAGACATGCTGCGTCAGTAGATTGATTAATATAAGGATCCGAATGGCTGCATATTCAAACATTAAAATAAGAAAAATCCATCAGTCCATTTGATCTATCTCGAGAAATCGGAATAAAAAATCAAAATTACTCTTGCGAAACTCTGCAACCGAAGTCGAACGTAAAGTACATTTAACGTTTTAACGTTGTATGCAAATCGATTGAGAGAACAGAAATTTGTCGAGCAAAGCGCTGCATACCGGCTATTGATTCCGCAAGACAATTGCGCGTACGAGGAATCACACGCAGTATGATCCGACTGAGCTGCATTTTGCAACTCTCGCTGGAAAGAGTGCGAAATTGCCAGTTGAGACATTGGCAGACGATTTACTTGAGCCAAAGCCAAACCTATCCTCTTTACTGTCACTATCAAATAACTTTTTCTGACGTTATATTTTTCGCTCGAATGACTATGTTTTCTGCGTAATTTACTGACGACGTACTTTTATCTTGTAATATAAATTACCAGAAATTATTTATGGCTCGCTATAACTGTCTTACATAAACTCTTGGACTCGCTTATGAAAGATTTTTCAACGAACAAACGCAAATCCATAGAAATTATTTGACACCTGTAAAAACATTTTTCGATTCGTCTCTCAGCCGTGTATTGACATTTTTTTTTATTTGAAATATTAAAGTTACTGAATTGCGTTTGAGCTATCTTATCGATGATTGTTAACAAGCAGCTCGCAATACATTAATGCACGGGAGATTGTAAAACGACGAGGAGCGAGACGTAAGAAAACTGAGATTCTAGTCGCGCACGATCGATCATCATTAAAGATGAACGTTGAAGGAGGAGCTGACCACACGAGATTTTCCTCATTTTCACCTTCTTTTATTATGACATTTATTATATTGACATGAACTCATTTTGAACTGCTGTTGCGGCTCATGCTTGCTCATTATTTTCTTGCGCTTCTCAAGTTCAAAATTATATTACGAACCGCACCCTTCATTTTCTGTGCTTAAAGATTGAATTGATAATTACAGTAAGAGGTTTAAGAAGCTGTCACTGAGTGGTTCGATTAAAATAAATGAAATGCATGTATCGTCAAGCGAGACCGTACAAGTGTGCCTGTGTAACAGATCAATTGTTGAATTTGCACGTGAAATGTCGCAGATAATTATAGCGAAATCGACTCGAGAGTCATCAGCTGTTGTCAGATAGGCAAACGTAAACGCACAAACCAGTGCCGGCAAAGAAACAAAATTGTGTTTTAAAAACAGATGATCAATAGTATGGATGCGTTCGTAAATTAGAACAGCGTGCTGCCATTTACATTCTTATCGAATTCCCGCAGCGAGCAATGCACCCGAATGAGCGCGATGTCGGTCGCATTGAATTCAGAAAAGGCGGGCGATAAAAATGAGTTTTCGTTCTGCTATCAGAACTGTGCGCGCGATCCCACTTGGCCCTTTGATGACAGTGCCATTAATCTGCTTTTTGTTTTGCAGAAATCGAGGCCCAGGAGGCGTGCAAATGGCTGAGGGCAGCTGGTTTCCCGCAGTATGCGCAGATGTACGAAGGTGAGTTGGCGATTAATTGCTAATTAGCGATGAGCACGCGCGCGCCGACTCGGCACTGGGTATACTCGACCGCGAGGGCCACACGCTTTATCTGCGCGCCGACCACGAACCGCGATCAACCAAGCTTTTCACGCTTTTCTAACGGCATTCCGAAAAACTAATTTGCCCTTGTTTGTGCGTTCCGAATAAGAGGCAGCCCCCAAGGTTTGCACTGGATCTTACTGCTGACGGTTACTTGAGCACCTATGCAAACTCAGCCGGCACGTCTCTGATTGAAAGACAAAGCTCGCGAGGTGGATGGGAATCTGCGTGAAATACAGCAGCTCGTTTGTTAGACGCCTGCCGCAGACACGTTTTCTTCTCGACTGACAATCAGTGACAGCGTCCGTTTTTCTCCTCTGCGTACACGAGTATAAACGATCGTCTCTAATTTGACTGCTGAAAGGCGCTTTTGTCGTCTCCTGGGACTACCTTTCTGCCGTTACGTAAAATTCAGCTTTCAATTAAACTTCCGAGCGATGTAGTTTTGCGAAATGCTCAGTCACGCCAAGACGGCCATTTTTAATACTTGCACAGATACAAAATCAGCCTTTCACGAGCACCTTTACGTGCCTCCAAAAATATATATTTCCGCGTGGGCCATTGTGTATCTGACAGGCTGTGCAAAAACCAAGTTGTTTGCGACAAAATCGAAAAAGAACGTCTTGTTACGTAAAAGCTGTACCCGCTCACGAATATCTCTGCCGCCAAACAATCTTTCAGTTCCTCTCCTCCTCTCGTGAAAGGATAATACAATGGTCTATTAATAGAAGGGACGACGACGACGACGGCGACGGCTTTTCTTGGTTTAATAACGCCGAACAATACCAAGAGCGCGAGCGGTGGCATAATAAACGTCGCTTGCGAAATGTCGAAGCATTGTCACGGTCCACACGCCGCCTCGCGCACAAACATTGTTTGAAGGACCTTTTTTTTCTTCGTATTTTGAAAGAGGGCACGTACGTCACGTTGGATAACTCGCGCGCTCGTGATCACTTGAATAATTAACATGTTGACATGAGATTTCGATTCAACAACAATGCTCTATTGGATAATGCTAGGCTTTCGATACCCTTTTTCATCTTCCAGATATCGTTTGCAAATAGTGTGTGTCATTTCTATTGTCATCGGTATCCACTCTAGAGTCCTTTAGCAGAATTAGTCAATTTCCAAAGTATATATTGCTTCCGTCTTTAGCTTATACTTCTATTCTCTGCGTCATCCAAATTCTCGAAGCTTTTCTCAATTGTCAAATTTACGACTTGTCAACAGCCTCAAAAATTCAAGAGCCCTATAAAAAGGCCAAAGATTAACCATGAAATGCTGGCAACTCAATCACTTTTCTTACATAAGTGCAATTACTCGTCGGGTGAATGCAGTAAAAAGTCTTCATTGCCTCACATCGCTAAAAGAAACTTCCGGTTCTCACCGCGAGCTAAATAATCACGTAATGAAATAAAAAAGAAATTAAACAAAGAAAGGGTTTTTCGAGAGGAAACCAACTAATTGCCCGATTGTGAATCAGATCACCGATCTATCTTTATAAAACGTGCATGCCGCGCGCGCACACGTGTATATAATTGAAAGGGAGAGACAGAGAGATCGTGAGCACCGCTTTTCGCTTTCCACAACGGCGCCGTTTGACATAGCGCTGACTAAACATAAATAGACCTATCCCACCGCAAGTTGCATATAAGCGTCGTGATTCTCGGCTTTTTTTTCTTCTTTTTGTTTAGACTTACTCTCATCTCTTTTCAGCCTTCTCGCTTCAACCTTTTCACTCGCTATGGGTGGCGTTACGTCACGTACAAACACGTGTTATTCAGTGCTTCGTATGCCTTTTTTTGCCTTTCTTTTTCATTGTTTCGCGATGTGTACTATTTATGAAGCGGAACTCTGCTTTTAAAAAAACTTTGCTCTCTAAAAAAAGCAAATTTCTTGTTCGTCCGGTTGTCCAGGAAAAACATCGCTGGATCTTGATAAAAGAGAAAATGATGTGCGCAAGATTCGTAAGAAATAAATAGTAATTTTTATGTAATATAAATTCGATTTGATTGATTTTTTGAACCGTGTTACGTTCTGGTCGACTGTTGGTTACAGTTTGTTTCAACAGAGGGCTTAAACGCAATGGTTGTATACTAATTAATGAAAATTCATAGAGATTTCTTTTATATATTTTGCTTCAATTAATTATTGGATTATTTAGATCCACAGCTATGTGTTCGCTCTATCTATCCTTTTTTTCGATGCGCGCACGCAATCGCCTTTTATATTTAAAATATACCTTAGGTAATAATCAATAATATTCTTCCGTAAGTCATATGCAAATAAACCAACGAGTTATTCTTGCATTCTGTGCAGCATATAGTTACTAAAATTAAAAAGGAACCGCACACATTTGGAGTAAGTATGTGATTATTTTGAGCGAAGGCTGTCTGTGTAATCTAAAAACAAATGACGAAGAACAGAAAAAAAACTGCAGAAACAAGAAATATTCGTACGCCAAAAATAACATGGTTTGCACAGTGATTATTGATATATAATTGTATTTTTAAACCCTTCAACAAGTGAGTTGGTGAAAAAAACTCGGCCGAAATAAAATGCAATAAACGAAGGGCACGTGCGCACGCGATGTCAACACTGATATTCGCTCATGTGCTGCGACCAAACTAAAATTATAACCACGCGCATTTATTCACGTGCGACAAAACGTTCGAGTACATATGTCACTAGCCCGGTTTTCGCACGTGTGTGTCCGCGATAATACGTTGACTCTTCTAGATAACCAGATTTTTTTGCTGATGGGATATGGATCATTTTTTGCACGCCTTATTGGATTTGCAATATCCTCGTGCGTTCAATGCATTCACTTGGAAGACTTTAATGAACGACGGTATTTTTCCGAAAAATAAATGCAGTACTTAGAGCACATAAGTGTATCTGATTTTATTGAATAAAACGAGATTAGTGTGAGATTAGCATTTCCAAACGAATACTCTCTCTTTCAAATGATCAGTTGGCTGATCAGTTGGCCGACGAGCGCAGAAAAAGAAGAAAATTGACATCTACGCAATAAGCATAAATCATCGGTCAGCTTGTAAAAATTTGAAATCAACATACCATCTGAAATCTTTCCCAGAAAACGATCTTTCTTTAGAGGCACGTGCACCCCGAAACGAGTTTAATGAGAAAAAAAGTCTAAGCTTGGCCGAAGAGTGCGACCTCAGCGATCGTTTACACAGATGAGCGACCTTTCGTTATAACGATATTTAACAAGCAAAACAAAAAACAAGCAGCCAAAAATTCATTCATTATATGCCCGCGGGTTGTACGTAAGTGGACGCCTTGAGGGAAAATCCCACGTTAGCATCAGCGAGAAAATCTAAGTAGGTGAGGGCCATCGAGTGATATCAGTTTTCGTACGATTATTTTTGACTTCCGCACGTCGCCGTCGAGTCGAGCGAGAGCCTGCTGCGCGCGCACGCTCACACGTTGCTGAAAAAATTCGGTCGATGGATTATTAACTTATACTAATGACGTCAAACCGTTAAACGCGTTTCCTGCGCTCTTACCTTCTTTTTCGTTTCTTCTTTTATATTGATTAACATTAACACAATTACTTTTCTCAAAGATGGTGCGACATTGCATTTATTTCAGGCTTACACATTGAAAAATCGGATTATTGATTAGTAATAGAAAATAATAAAGCATTTTAAAAACATAATGTGGTGATTTTAGAAAAGGATTTATTCGATGATAGTAGTTTTATAAAATGAGTATTAAATCCATAACACTGCAGCCTTTTTCTTTATTTTCACTCTCTTCAAAATGACCAGTATCAATTATGATAAATTAAATTTTTATTACTAAATTCTGGACTCGAAACCATAGATACATGCTTATTTTCCACATTTTTTTACATAACAGTATATCACGTGACCATATCTCAGCCATTCAGATCACGAATAAAATCTTTCAACGTGGCATTCATCACTTTTTTATAAGGGGTTAAGGGGATAAGGAGATTCCGCATGGATGCCCACCAAGACTGCAAACACTTTGTACGGAATTCACGTACGAGCGTAACAACAAATCAAAATACTTTTCTTTGACTAGTCATTTGTTAAGCAACTGCTTGAAAAGCAGCTTATTCTTTTCTCTATAACTTCAATTTGAACAAATTTACGTGCACTTCCAAGCTCACAGTCATTGTAATACGTACTGGAAATAGTTTGTTAACTACCGAGAGCTGACAGCACAGACGTAGTCGATTGCATATTGGCATCATTCAGTAATCAATAGTTTCATCGATATGTCACAAATCAGTGATAAGCTTTTTAAACTAGTATCGCAACGTCAGAGGTTTTCAACAGCAATGTCATTAGTCACCTTGCTGCTTAGCCACTCTGGTTAACACTCAACATTCCTGCGCTAGAAATATGGTTTTCGTTGTTGCTTACCACGATGACACGGATCCCATGAACTAAGTACGTACATCGTACAGACGAATTTTCATTTTCACACGCGAATAACTTTTCTCGTCGGCAAAATGAAAAGAAAGTTACGCTAAGGATTATACGCTTTCCGAGCTATGCGTGCAAAATCCTCATGCTCGCATGAATTCCTTTATAAAAAGACAAAACAGAAGAAAGTCCTCGCGCAATTTGCTGCAAGCACGCGTGGAAAACATCATAATAACGAAGAAGCGAAGGGCCCTCCCAGCCAACACTTTCCTTTATGCTGTGCGGCGCAACTTTAAGCCGATTATGCCACTTGCCGACGAGCATTCTTTGGCCATCTTTCTTCGGTCTTGACTTTACGATACGCATGCTGACACGATTGTTCGTAATGCGACAATGTTTTGCCACGAGAGCAGACGTTGCTATAATAACACAAGGGACAATTTTAACGATTCGACTCGATTATTGCAAAAATGTGTTGAAAAGTTGACATTATCAAAA